ACTCAGATCAAAAGTCTACAGACAAGAGAAAACATCAGATCGCACTGGGTTATCTATTTAGAGGTTGCCTTTATTGAAACGAATCAAATTACAGGAAATCAGGACCGTCTCAGAAATGCTAAGGTAAACAAGTCACCATAACAACAGCGTAGAAATGATGCAGTGTGTGGCACAGAGTAAGCCCTCAATACGTACTGGCTGGATCCTGAACTATCGACAGTATAATCTGACTTGCCACTTTAAAGATGAGAAAACAGAGGCCCAAGGAGGTGAATGGCTTCCGTCAGTCCTAAAACTAATGGCAGGCCTCCTCTGCAAGATGACACTCATAATTTTTATAAAGGGGGTGTCTGGATGACTGGTGACTTTCCTGCAACAGAGGGATGGCGGTGAGCCTCAGCAGTACACACCATCCACGGATTCAAAGCCATAGGATCTCTCTTGTTCTTTGTCACTGGCACACAGCAGGTGCTCAATCAATGTCAAATGAGGCCATGAATGCGGAAAACTTAAAGGAACGATCTACCGTTCATAACCGCAGGGCCCTTCCTCTCCCCTCACACAGAGTCACAGAAAACGTACCACCTTCCCAACGTGTTAGAAACAATTCAGCTCTGAGTGCTCAGCAGCAAATGCCTAAAAGGTGCAAATCAAAGGGCCAGACTCCTCTGCGCACCCCAGGGAGGAAAGCACAGGCTTCCAAGAGGCCAGCGTGCATTGACTGCCCTCATTTAATTTCTACTTCTCTCATTCTGTTCAGTCACGGTCAGCCTCCCCTCGATTTGCCCCCTGAACAGGAAGGCTGCTCGCTGGAGGGCAAATCCAGGCAGCAGAACAATCGATGCTCTCCACGCCAGGCCAAGGCCGCGCTCACTGCCACTTTCTCCTCCTCTCTTTTCTCCAACGAGAAGAGCTAAGCTCACTGCCACACAATCCTCTAATGGAGGCAGCGAAGAAGAACCACACTCTACTCTCAAGCCCAGGTGGCTTTCAGTGCTTTGCTATTCCTTATTTATACCACGTGTGTGCATGCCTGCTTACGTGTACACACGTGCATGTGGTGTGGACTCCTTGTGGGCAAGAGCTGCCTTATTTATAGCTCTATCTCCAATATCGAGCACACGCCTGGCATGCAAGAATACGTGTTCAGTGAACCGATGAATGAGTGGACTGTACTTGGAGGTCTCTCTGAGTGACCCTGTGAGATTCCACTGTGGTTGCACCATGTAACCAAGACATAAATCATGTGAGCTGGTACCAGTTATTAAGTTGCTGTCTCTCAGTTCCAAATCCACCCTTTCTATACCCTGCTCTGTAATGCTGGAGCTGGGACTCTGCACACCTCCTTTCTGCTTTGCCAGCTGCTCCCTGCTGGGCTCTGCCAGTAGGGGGAGCTAGAGGGAGACTGGCGACTGCAGGAAGAAGGAACTTCTGCCTCTTGGCTTCCGGTTTCCACGAGCATCCCTTCAGTAATAGCCCTTTATTAGGGCAGTGGCCACAGGTTCCAGAATCGTTGTGTTTTGTTTTGTTTCGTTTTCTGTTAGCAGTCCCGGAACCAGCCTCGCACACACCCCTGACACACCAACAGTAGCCAGGCAGCATTTCGTCCTCAGGGCTCTGGGTCTCAGCTCTGCTGGGTATCACCTCCAGACTTCTTTTTTTCCCACATCTTTATCGGAGTATAACTGCTTTACAATGTTGTGTTAGTTTCTGCTGTATAACAAAGTAAATCAGCTATACATATACATATGTCCCCATATCTCCTCCCTCTTGTGTCTCCCTCCTACACTCCCTATCCCACCCTTCTCGGTGGTCACAAAGCACCGAGCTGATCTCCCTGTGCTACGCGGCTGCTTCCCACTAGCTATCTATTTTACGTTTGGTAGTGTATATATGTCCATGCCACTCTCTCACTTCGTCCCAGCTTACCCTTCCCCCTCCCCTTGTCCTCAAGTCCATTCTCTATGTCTGCGCCTTTATTCCTGCCCTGCCCTGCCCCTAGGTTCTTCAGAACCTTTTTTTTCTTTTAGTTTCCATGTATATGTGTTAGCATACGGTATTTGTTTTTCTCTTTCTGACTTACGTCACTCTGTATGGCAGACTCTAGGTCCCTCCACCTCACTACAAATAACTCAATTTCGTTTCTTTTTATGGCTGAGTAATATTCCATTGTATACATGTGCCACATCTCCTTTATCCATTCATCTGTCGATGGACACTCAGGTTGCTTCCATGTCCTGGCTATTGTAAATAGAGCTGCAACGAACATTGTGGTACATGACTCTTTTTGAATTATGGTTTTCTCAGGGTATATGCCCAGTAGTGGGACTGCTGGGTCGTACGGTAGTTTGATTTTTAGTTTTTGAAGGAACCTCCATACTGTTCTCCATGGTGGCTGTACCAATTCACATTCCCACCAACAGTGCAAGAGAGTTCCCTTTTCTCCACACCCTCTCCAGCATTTATTGTTTGTAGATTTTTTGATGATGGCCATTCTGACCGACGTGAGGTGAGACCTCCTTGTAGTTTTGATTTGCCTTTCTCTAATGATTAGTGATGTCGAGCATCCTTTCATGTGTTTGTTGGCAATCTGTATATCCTCTTTGGAGAAATGTCCATTTAGGTCTTCTGCCCATTTTTGGATTGGGTTGTTTGTTTCTTTGATATTGAGCTGCATGAGCTGCTTGTATATTTTGGAGATTAATCCTCTGTCACGAACTTCTCAGTTTTGATAACCTCGACCCATTCCCTTTGTTCCCCCAGTCCTAGGGGTGGTCACTACTTCTTGCAGTTCCCACCTCTGTTTCACTTCTAATGCCTGTTTAACCAGTGGCCTCGGTTAAAATAGTTGGCACGGTCGCTCTCTTCCTGGCTGCATCCTGACTGATATGGGAACCAGGGTGTTTCTAGGGGCAGCAGCGTCTTGGGCACTCCCCGAAGTCAGGCACAGGGACCTCTACGTAGTCTAGAGTAGGACCCTCCAAATTCGTCTCTGACCAAAAAGACAAAAGACAAAACTGCCTCATGCCTACAGCCAACAGGACACACACGGCATCAGTGGGCCTGACGCAGCAGACACTCCAAAAATATTCACTGAACAAGTGAATGTGCCTGTACCTGACACTGTTATGTGCTCCCCAGGACCTGTTAGCTCTTCTTCGCCGAACACAGCTGGACTACATTTCCCAGCCTCCTGTGCAATTATGGTGCCCATGTGACCAGGTACTGGCCAATGGAAAATGCAGATGTGATCTGTGCCACTTCCAGACCTGGCCCACGGACATCTCCCATGCGTGAGACTCCCCTGTCCACTGGTCAGATTTACAGGATAAGGAAGACCGTGAGGCAGAACCACAAGGGGGAGGGGCCTAGTCTCAGACCAAGGGGAGGATCTCCTGCCAAATGTGGAAATAGAAAACGACGAAATGAAACTCTTAGCTGAGCACACAGTACACGCCTATCGCACTAAGCTGCGGAGATTTGAGGGCTGCTTGCTGCAGCAATAGACCCCAACCAATAGAGGCCAAGGGCGTGAGTTTGATCTCTAGGCCTGGACATCCAGCTCTCTGCGGTAGGGTTCGGGGCATGAAGGTGGCTAAACAGGAATTTGGGTGATCAGCAGAAGCTCATTTTAACAACTGGAAGAACAGCTCAAAGGGCACAGCCTCCTGACAGCTGGTCCCTGCCCAGCAAGAAAGTGCATGATTACAAGGAGTCCTTCCGTCCAGATAATGGAGTCAGCCCCTTTCAGGGGCCTCACGCAGGTCAGTCTACAGAATGATTAACCGAACTGATGGGCTCCTGCAGAGTCTGTATTCCTGGGACCCCTCACAGAACAACAGAAGATCACCTGCCTGGGATGACTTCAGACGCTGAACTAGGAGAAAGAGACTGAGCTAGTGATTTTTCTTTCAACTAGTAAGTCTATGTATTGTAAATTAATATGTGGTCACGGGAACAGTAATCAGAAAATCAGAACAGAAGGAAAAGGTGCACAGTTGTACGACGGCACCATGCAGGCAAATCAGTGTCAAAATGCTGATATATTTCCTTCCAGAATTTTTGCCCGGCTTATATTTTTTACGTGGTTATAGTTATATACAACTGAAGCATTATGGTTCAAAACTGAGTTCAAAATATCAGATTTGAAGCCTATCTTGGCCCCTTCCTAGCTCTACAGCCTCAAACAAGTGACTTCACCTCTTTGTGTCTCCATTTCTTCACCTGTAAAATGGGGAGAACGATTCACACCTCGCTTCACCTCGTGGCAAGAATTCAATGATGGCACGCCTGAAAGCGCTTAGCACAGTGTCTGCCCGGCTGAGGCAAAGCACTTGGGAAATGTCAGCTGTTGCTGTAGACTAAGTACAGAATTACCAATCTTGATTGAAAGAAAAGAGGAGTGAGGCTTTCTGATGATATAAGTGATATTTCCTCACGGTAGGCTATTGGGAAAATGTGGCAAGACATCACAAAAAAAGAGACCATGATTTCTGGATGCCCTATAGTTCCCTTTCTCTTGCCTTTTGTCCTCAGGGAGATCCAAACTCTGGAACTCCCCAAATCCAGGCAGTTGTGAGTTGGAGGAGCCTCTGGTATCAAGGGAAAAAAGGCAGGATATGGAGAAGAGAGCAAAATCCCAAACCCTGCGTGAAGGCGCTGCATAGGACACTGAGGGCAATCTAGCCCTTTATTTTGATAGGTGCGGTATTTGATTTGCATGACTCATAACTACAAAAGAAAAAAAAAATCAAGAACTGCCCGAAGAGTATTTCTGAAGCACTCTTATTTTCTTCTCTGCACGAACTCTGTGCAAGAAAAGCAGAGAAGAACACAGTTCCCTCCATCAGCTCCATCTGCCTTCCCGGGGAAGGGGAACCCTCACTTCTCTGTGATGACAATACGCTCTGACTCCTAACTACGTTCAAGTTCAGAGGTGGAATCAGCCTTCAAGCTCCCAGCCTTTCTTACTTATGTCACTTCTTCTCGGCATTAGCTTCTGCCTTCCTGTCTTACCAATGCTTAGGACAACGTGAAGCACGAACTCTGCAGCCAAATGAAATAGGAGTTGCAGTCAGGTCAAAGTCACATGATTCCATGCGTAGCTTGTGGCGTGGGCTAAGATGAAATGCATCGCATCCAACCCTCGAAGCTTCAGAATATCCACTGCAGGTAAGGATAATGCTGTCCTGTGGTTTATAGCAATGCTACTCAAAGTATGGTCCGTGGACTAGTAGCACCAGCATCACCAGGACCTTGTTAGAAAGGCAGACCTGTGGAATCACAATCTCTGAGGGTGGGGCTCAGAAATCTGCATTTTTACCAACTCTCTCCTGATGATTCTTAAGCATACTGAAGTTTGAGAAGCACTGGTTTCTTTATAAACCATCCATATTCTCTCTCTCTCCCCCCCATCTCTCCCTCTCTCGATTCAGGACTTCCTGGAGGAAAAGGCCCCTGAGGTATCTCCTTGTTGGATTCAGGCATCTGAACAATACACGCCTATGAGGCTGACCCAGGAAGCCACAACTTCTAGGAGACAGGAAGCTGTAAGGAAATGGCCATCCCCCTCCAGTCTTCGCACCCCCACCCCCGCGCGGGCTGCTTTGCCACAGCAGGTCAGGCAAGCGGCAGAAATGTAAAAACTGCTTCTCGCAACTGGGGAGCGGGTGTGCAAGCACAGCGAACCCTGGCAGGCTCTCCGCAGGCTGCTTGCAAAGGCTCTGGCCGCCTTGCACGATGCTGCTGGAAGGGCACCAGGGTGGAGATCAGTTCGCAGCAGGCCCAGCTCCGGAACAGCTAAGCGGGCGATGCCTGACCACACCAAGAAGATTCAGCTCTCTCCGCCACACCTCTCTGAAATGTTTAGATGCCCCTACAGGGGTGTTTTTCAATGTCTCCTCTTCTCACCCTTCCCCGTTGCAATTGGGATTATCAGCTACTGGGTAGAGTTTTTTTGACCTTCGGTATTTCGCTTTCTTAGGTCATGTTCTACAGAAAGCAGACCCCAAAAGACTCCTGAAAGAAGATTCATCTGCATGTGATTTATCAAAGAGATGCTCTCAGGAGAGACAGGTAAGGCAGGAGAAGCAGGACAGAGAAGGGGAAGAGCCGAGCAAAGGTGGGGTCTCGGGCAAAGCTCCTGCGAGGCTGTGGGGGAACTCTGGAGGGGAAGTTACAGCTCAGAGTCGTTGGAGCTTGTGGCAAGGGAGCTGGGCTCTTGTCCCCTTCTTCAGTCTTTAGCTAAAGCCTGTGTGTATGTGGGCATGTCCGTCTGTGCATGCACGTGTGTGTATACGTCTCTGCCAGCCTGTGGGCGAAGCAGGTCTAGAAGCCCAGGGACGGTCCTTGGAAGATGAACCAGGGGTGCGTGCCACTGAGAGAGCCATCAAAGCTGGAGTGTTGGGGGCACCCTAAAAGAATTCTGGGGGTCTAGACAGAACCCCTACATCCTTTACCACATACACCTTTCCTCCCATTTTATTAACATTTGATAACGGAAACGGAGAACAGACTGGTGGTTGCCGAGGGGGACGGGGTTGGGGGAGAGGTGGAGTAGGAGGTTGGGGTGAGCAGATGTGAGCTTTTATATACAGAATGGATAAACAACAAGGTCCTACTGTGCAGCACAGAGAACTATATTCAATATCCTATGATAAACCATAATGGAAAAGAATATTAAAAAATGTTTATATCATTAAATCACTTTGTTGTACAGTGATAGTTATCATTGTAAATCAAGTGTACTTCAATAAAAAAAGACGTGGTAAGTGTTACCCGTGAGTTAAAAATCATCACTATCGTTATCAACATCTATTAGCATCTCTGACCACGCTCACTGAACTGAGTGATGGGCTACCAACCGACCAAGCTGTTCACCTTCACAATGCGCCCATGAGGAAGACAAAAGACAGATACCAAGTAACCCCTCTTCCAGAGGGAGAGAAAGAGAGATTTTCCCATTAAAAGCATTTTACTAATCTCGTGGAAAGCCTCGTACAGTCAACTGATGTATCACAGAACCACTGCCACCTTCACACCTCACTCGGAAGCCAGAGCGTCTGGGTTTGAATCCCAACTCTGCAACTTAACTCCAGGCAAGTAGCTTAACCTCTCTGTGCCTCGATTTCCTCATCTGTGCAATGGGGATCATAGCATTGTCCCCCTCGGAGCGTGATGGAGAGAGTGACATGAGGTGAGTCAAGTAACCCACTGAAGCCAAGTTGCTGGCAAGCAGTGAACATTCACTCAGTGGGAACTCTTACGGTTGTGATGACGTCATTATTCACAGCCTCTTGGGAAATGCCTAGTGTTTTGCCCTAACCAGGTTTAATTTTCCAAATCTCTTCAGAGGGCTGACTGTTTATCAAGAACGAGGATCCCCGTTGCTGTCTCTTTCTATCCGCCCTCTCTCCACCACCCAAGTCAGATGCTTGGCATATATACAATGGAATATGACTCAGCCATAAAAAGGAACGAAATTGAGTTACTTGTAGTGAGGTGGATGGACCTAGAGACCGTCATACAGAGTGAAGTTAAGTCAGAAAGAGAAAAAGAAATACCGTATGCTAATGCATATATATGGAATCTAAAAAAAAAAAAAGTGGTTCTGATGAACCTAGGGGCAGGACACGAATAACGATGCAGACGTAGAGAATGCACTTGAGGGCACGGTGTGGGGGGAAGGGGAAGCTGGTATGAAGTGAGAGAGCAGCATGGACATATATACACTACCAAATGTAAAACGGGTGGCTAGTGGGAAGCACCGGCACAGCACGGGGAGATCAGCTCGGTGCTTTGTGACCACCCAGAGGGGTGGGATAGGGAGGGTGGAAGGGAGGGAGGCTCAAGAGGGAGGAGATATGGGGATATATGTATACGTATAGCTGATTCAATGTGTTGTACAGCAGAAACTAGCACAACATTGTAAAGCAATTATACTCCAATAAAGATGTGAAAAAAATAATAAAATACAGCAAAACAACAACAACAACAGATACTTGGTAGTCCTGGCCTGATCAACTAATCTTTTTCCCTCGGGGCCGACATTCCACCTTCTCAAATACCGAAGTCACCTGCTGTGTAGCCCCAGATGTCACATCTGACTGTCCCAGCCCAGAATGCTTTAGCTTTTATCACTCACAATCCGTTCTGCCACTCCTGGTGATAATCTCTTCAATCTAAAGAATCCAGGTCAAGGTACAAATTCACCAAGAAACCCCCTGATGCCCTGACAGTCTGACATCATGGAATTTGTTTCCTCTTCTGACTCCAAAGGCAGCATGCTATTTCCACCTGGACGAGATACTATCTCCTCCCTAGGGCTACCGTGGAAGTCACAAGTTAAAGCATGTGCAGCGTCCCGCCCATGCACCGCCCCCTCCCGCACGCTGAATAACTGCCTTACGGTGCAAAGACTGTTTACTTTGCGAATGAGAAAATAGCGGTTCAGAGTGAACTGACTTACCCACAACACTACCACTGGTACTTGATGTTATTAGTTGGGATAGGCTAGGTCATGCCGCAATAACAAATTACCCCCAAATTAAAGGTTTGCTTTGGCCCATGTCGTATGTCCAAAGCAAGAGAGTGGGGGCTCTGCTCTACATCATTACTCAGAAGATCCACCATCTCCACATGCTGGCTTGAGAGTTTACTGAGGCAGCTGACAGGGCACATGGAGGCTTCACACCTGCTCAGCTATACCTCCGCCAGGAAGTGACAAGCCATTTCCACTGAAAATCTGTTGGCCGGAAGCAGTCACGTGGCCCTGCGCCATCGAAGGGTGCTGAGGAGTGTAATCTTCCATGTGCCCGGGAGGAGAGGAGAGCTGGATACTGGTGAGCGACTAACATCTAGGGCACTGAGGGAAGTGGGCTCTGAACCGAGAGGTTCCAGCCAAGGTCGCTTGGCTCCCAAAGCCTCTCCTCTGTCTACTGCACGAGGAGAAGCCTCTGTGGCGGTTCAGCTTTAGGGCAGAGAGAGCCTGTGAGCCTTCCGGGCACTGCACTAGGAGCTAGAGACGGGGAAAGGAGGAATGTCGTCTAATCTCCATGGACCCCCATGGTACCATTCATTGGGTCAACCATTTTATTTCACATCTACCATGTGCCAGGCGCGGTTCTAGGGACTGCGGACGCAACTGTGAACCAAACAGACAGCCGGTCCCTGCCTTCACGAAGGTTATATTCTAGAGAGGCCACTCAGACAAGGAGATGGGTGAGGTGAAACTAAGCCAACATTCTACGGCGTGCCACGGGCACTGAGGGCTACGCGGAACAAGCAAGCAGGGGAGGAAGACAGAGGAGGCCAGTGGTTGTGGCACATTTTATTTTATTTGTTTTTAACAACTCAGGCCCTTTAACTCTTTAAAAATTAATTAATTAATTTATTTTTGGCCGCATTGGGTCTTTGTTGCTTCAGACCGGCTTTTCTCCAGTTGCGGCGAGCGGGGCCTACTCTTCGTTGCCGGGCGTGGGCTTCTCATTGCGGTGGCTTCCCCTGTTGTGGAGCGCGGGCTCTAGAGCGCAGGCTCAGTAGTTGTGGCGCACGGGCTTAGCTGCTCCGTGGCATGTGGGATCTTCCCGGACCGGGGCTCGAACCCGTGTCCCCTGCACTGGCAGGCGGACTCTCAACCACTGCGGCACCAGGGAAGCCCCACATTTTATTTTATCTTATTTGTTTTAATTTATTTTGTGTGTGTGTGTCACATTTTAAATGAAGGGGTCAGGAAGGGCAAGCTGAGAGTGACGCCCTAAAGAGGACGGTAAAGTAGGGGAAAGGGCTCGGGGCAGAGGGAACCAGAAGGGCAAAGGCCCTGAGGCGGAACCTTGTGTATTTCCAGCAATAACAAGGAGGCAGTTCAGTTGGGATAAAGAGGACAAATAGGCGAGCCATGCAGGTGGAGGGCTCTGCCGGGCACGCAGCCTTCGTTCGTTAAAGCTTGGCTAAAAGCGAGGCAGGGAGACAAGGGCAGTGGCTGGAGGGAGAGTCGCTGGACGTGTCACTTGAACATCTAACGTGCTCCCAGGAAGAGAGGAGCGTGCACCCCGAAGAGCACAGAAAAGCGTTTTTGATCTGTGGGGTGTTGAACACTCAGAGATGTGCGTGCCTGGATTCAGAAAGGCCGGCCTCCCCACTGGCGGAGGGGTTGGCAAGAGCTTGACTAAGACCCCCTCGGGTGAATCCACCCCATCCTGGACATGGCCGGGGCACCTGTGACATTCTGCCCGAGGGCTTTCTCTGGCCACGGGAGCTCAGAAGTGCCATGGGCTCCAGGCCTCTGAGAGCAGCTCTCAACCGGCGAGGGGCAGGAATTGTGGATCAACTGGCCCCTCCGGGTGGGAAGCTCTGAAGTGTGTGCTGCTGTCTTCCGAGGTCCCCAGCACGTTGAGCCCCGGTTGCCCACTGGTCGCTGCTCACGACCGTGGGGACCCTGGTTCCCCTCCCCAGTCCCTGAGCGGCTTCCTGGGATCACCTCCGAACACACGGCTCGCGCTCCACGCGGTCTTGTGTCTGTCTTTAGAGTAAGCCCGTCGGAGACACTGCCCGAGCCAGGAAAAGCATTTCACGTCCGAGTCTCGAAAGTTGCCTTCAACGCACTTAAAAGGAGGGTGTGGGACTGGATTAGCCAGGGGGCCACTTTCTGCTCTACAGCCTATGCAGCCAGGAACCTCCCCCGCCCCCAGATGAGGCCATGGCACAAAACCCCTGAAATGTGAGCTGCGGGACAAGTTCACGGACCTGGCTGCAAAGCGGGCGGAGCCCCACAAGCCCCGGGGAGGCTTTGTCTCCCACAAGATGGGGGCCCAGCGGCCCCCCAGCCAGGCCACGCAGGAAGCCCTCCTGCCGGTGGCTGGCTCTGCCGCTCCCCACCCCCCCCTTCCTGTGGATGTGCTGGGAACAGCTTCCCCTTTGTTCGTCCCTCTGATCCCCATCTGCTCAGCAACTGTCCAAATTCAATTCCGGCGTCGTGCGCCTCCAGCCTCCAGTCCGGCATTGTCTCTTAGGAACCACTCCAATCCCCCCAAACAAAGGCCCTCAAATCTGAATAAACCCTCTGACATCAGCCTGGCGGGTCAGGACGCTGATCAGGACAGTCCCCATGCCCACTGCTTTGAAACCCTTTGGCTTTGCTGACCTCTGTCTCGGCGCGCTCCCCTGTCACCACCAGGCCAGACGTCGCATTTACTGGTGGCCTGAGCCCCTGTGCTGAGCCTCCATTTTTTGTGAGCGGAAGCCTTCCTCTTTTGAAGTTCGGCTTTGTCCTTTTACAGAAATTAACCTCCTCAGGGTTAGTTAAAGAGTTGTGAAAAGTTGACATCATCAGGGTAACACCAGGCAGGACCCTGTGGTTACCTCTGCCTGGGACGGACTAGGAAGCATGTCTTCCAGAAAATCTTCAGTTTCTACATAACCGAGTTCTAACTCATTTCGCTTTCTCCTCCTTATGCAAAGAGATTCTGTCTTGTTCTACTTCTACAGGTAGATTTGCCCCCCACTT